ATTTGCTTTTTAAATTAATTACATAATACAGTCCTAGGTATTGCTACAATTTAACAGTGAGCCACTACAAATAGTGGCAAAAATTATGTATCATTTAATTAGTCATTTATAGTCAAGTATCTTGTACTTCAGAAAAATAACATGATTCTGTCAAAAGTCTCTGTGCATATCTTTGTATGTGAATTTTCACTGTCTTAAGAATGCTGCAATAAGAAGATGAACTTGACAGCCCATTTGCTTTTCTTTTGGTCCGAGTGAAGCATGAGGAGTGCATTTAGGCCTTTGCTGAAGCTGGTGCTATTTGTGAATCAGAACCTTCTTGTTCAGAGTCCTGGAGGTGCTCTGTTGTCTTGCTGGCCTCATCCCCATTCTCATCACAGTGACTTTTGGATTCCTCCGAAATGACAGTTAGCTTGTCGTAGAAAAGATGCTCTTCTTGTGGGAGTGGAGAAAAAAACTGTGAACCACTGGGAGGCTTGCTCAAAAACTGTGAAGGAAAGAGGAAATGAGAATTAGGCTGCACCAGCCATACCATCCTGTTTGCTTAGATTTTATATGTTTTATATTGTTTTCCACACGTCAGCTGGCTTTCTCAATCCTTGGAAGTCCCAGAGGGGTGACAATGTAATAATCTCTCTGTTCTTTTTAGTATTCTGTGCGAGGCTTGGAAGCAAGTCAAAAGTGCCTTTATTTGCAAGAAGACACTCCAGGGGTTAGTGATGTCTTTGGAATATAAACTGTCTTAAATAAAAATAAAATACCTAGGTTTTGTTTGGAAACAAAAACTAAACACAGTGATTGACTGTAGGTGAAGGAGTTCACAGAGAGATCTGTCAAATAGCTCCAAGAGATGTGAATTGTTCCTGCCATCTGAGAGAGCTGTCTGCTCAGACATCAAATAGCGATGCTTTAAATGTCAACATAAGGGGGGTTGGACTAGATGATCTTTCCAGGTCCCTTCCAACTCCTAACATTCTGTGATAAACCATAACCATTTAGTCAAGTAACGGAGAGGGAGGGAGATTTGCAGGGCTATGCAGTTCAGTGAGAAAGATGACTTAATTTTAGTACCAAAATATCACAACTTCCTCCCACTCCCTGTTCTATTGATAAGATGGAGCCGGCCTCAAGAATCAACATGGACTTGGCAGGATGTCATGACTGCATTTTGAATGTCAACACAAGAACAGCACACCTACTCAACACAGTAATAACATCTTAATCCCTTGTTTTGGTAGCTGAAGTGGCAGTTCATGTTATTGGTAGCGGCTGGAGGAGTACAACTGCACTTTGTTCTTGTGACCTGACCCCTGTCTATTACCTTTGCTTTTAGTGCATTTTACGTAAGAAACAAGCTGCTCTATCAGGAGTCCTGTTCACTGTAATTACAAAAATAAATGCTAATATTATTACTAGCAAACTGATTTGAAATGTTCTGTCAGTGACCTGCAATCTCAAATGTTCATGCAGTGAAGCCACTGCCTTTGATAAATGTAATTTTAGGTAAGCACGACTGACCTTCAATTACTGTGATTAACCACCATAACCCACTAGAACAAACCAAAAATTCTCTCTTTCTTGTGAGAAACCTGGGTGCAAAATGAAATCTGACCACATCCTGTACTGATCAGAGCAATGCTACCTTCCCAGCAGCTGAGCTCCACGTTCACCGAACTACTGTGTGCTGAGCGTGGGCTCAACCTAAAGCACAAGACAACTGCTAAGTCAGCTGCAAAGGCTCTGTCTCCTGAGCTCCAAATAAGCCAAAAAGAAAGACCCAAGATAAACTGCAGGAAGCTTAGAAGAGTACAGGTAGGTAACTTCAGCGTATGTAACACTCTGTATAGCCTTGTTTCTTGGAGGAGATTCTGATACGGCCTTTTTAAGTTGCAATACAGGTAACAGTGTCAGTGGTTTTCCCCAACAGTAATGGCTAACATCCATTGCTCTCATTTCATCCTGAATTTTCAGATTTCACTGCATTCTTTACTTTAGTTAAAACTCAGTATTATATTTGCAAAAGAACTTTGCTTCAGGAGAACAAATGTGGAATTTTAAGTCTAAAATGAGATAGTGGAGACAGATAGCTCAGTTGTTCGCTATCTAAGAAGAGGAACTGAAGGTTAACACCTGTTATTCTTTCACTTTAAAATGAAAGAAAACATCCTGTTTCTAAGCTATATAAAGCTTCATATTACGAATTAGGCAGTTGCTTTAGGATTAAAAGTCTATACCAAGTTTTTAAGGTGTTCAGCTTTTAAATATTTTGGACCACTCTGTGCAGAACAATTCAGAATGACAGTATTTTAGGGTTTACAGTACATCAGTATACTTCAAAAGGAAGTCTAATTTCACTGCTTCTTACTTACGTCTGTGCAGTGCCACAGAACATGATGAAAAAAACTAAGGTAACATTCATGCAAAATTTATGACTCTTATGGCCAGAAATTAAATATTAAATGAATTAACTTCCACTACCTTTCTCACACTGAAAAGTACCTTCCTTTTTCAGCTTTTTCCAAAGTTCACAACTTCATCATTTATGCTTATTTGAATGGCTTTTTGCGACTGGCAGAAGGGAGAGTTTTACCACGCACGACGACTATGTAACAACACATAACCAGCATTGCTGCTTATAGTCTAAAACTCCCTCAGAACAGTCTGCATTTCACAGATGGCTAACAATCAGGTGCAAATTAAAGAAGGCAAAATAAGAGAAGCTCTAAAAGTTTTGGCACAGAGAGCCTTTGAAAGGCTGGTGGCTCTGCTGAAAATGCTGACTTTCATATTCTTAGGTAGAAAACAAACCTCTTTCAAGTGTTGCGGGAAAATATATGAAGGGTAGAAAACGTGTCTGGTGAGTCGATATAGATACAAAAAGGAAAAGAAACAAACAGGAACAGATATTACAACGACCAACATTGATCCTATAAGAGTGGTCACAATTATCCACAAGGGAGTTACACCTGCAAGAGACAAGAAAAAAAATTAACTGTGATTATTAATTTCTGAATATATTGTTTTAGCATTATCACTTGTATAATCTCTATGGATTTTTTTTTAAACCATTACAAAATTGTAACTGCAGGCGTAAGTTTTTGTTTCCAGATGCAAAATACCTCTTAGCTCTTAAATTTTTAGTCTGAACAGGCTGAGGAAGTTCTCAATAAAGTAAGCTTACAAGCCATCATATTTAGACATTTACAGTTACACACACTGGTGATTCTACATGCAATCCTAGGGACATGACTGAAGGAAAAAAGACCAACAGAAGCATCCACAAAGTGATATAATGTAAAAAGCTACTGTACACAGTTTGGTCTTTCAGTAGCGTAGGAGTTGACACACTACCAGAGTACAGGCTTCCACTTTTCTCTTTAAGAAATCTGTAGAAATGGCAGCAAAGTAAAGACAGCAGAGGCCAAAAGTCTGTACAATTCTAAACTCCTCAGCCTTTTAAAAAAATATGTCACGCACAGTGATTTCACAGCAGGCAACGGGAACAAAGAGGTATCCATGCATCACAGCCTAAGTGTTTTAAACCAACTTATGCTTGCTAAGCACTGTTCTAGCCATGAAGTAACAAGCAACATCACCACCAAAACCCACCTGCAATTCAACTGCAGTGCATGCAGATAATATATATGGGAAAAATATATGAGGAAAACCAAATGGTTTGCAGAGTGGCTTCTCCGGGCTTCTCCCAAATGGCTTCCTCAACAACTTGTGTCTCAAATTTTTCGTAAGTTATCTGAGGGTGTAAGTTACTTGAAATACCCATTATGCCTGTGAAAAAGACAGTATCTAGGACTTTATCCTTTCTTTTAATGAAGGACATGAAGCCCCCTGCTAATACGACAGGGTCAGACCACACAGTGGGTTTTGCTGGACGCCACAGACAGCAGCTAAGGTGGCATGGCTAGAAAGGTACTTAACTGCCTTCAAAATAAAAAGAAAAGCATAGAGACAACATAATTGTTGATATTATTGATCACTAACTGCTGTGTGTTACAGAGAAAGAGTATAATGCCCTAGCCTCATGACAGACACTGGCAATATTGCCACAGATGAAGCAGACTGCAACACCTGTATCTCAGTTACAGATACACACAGCAAAGGCTTTCACAAGATAATGAATACAGCTAATGGTGCAAGAAATTCAGGCACACAGTGTGATCAGTGATGAGCCTATGCTCCACTTAACTCTGATTTTCAGGCCTCTGCAGCAAAGTAAAGCATCACACCATCCGTGCTATATTGCTTGTAGTTTTCACTTAGTTTTCAACTCCTGCATTCCAAAGGTGCACAGGTATTAACTACCAAACAATACTGAAGTAACAAACACATCCCTTTTTGGAAGGTTTATGCATTACACTGGTTTTCATTTTGAATGGCTTTGCACATTTCCTAGTTCCCTGCAGCGTGTGTTCCCTCGTGGTGCAGCAGGTATTACCGTTGTGGGTTGTCTGCTCACAAAGCTCTTCGCTCAGTTCCCCAGTCTTGTTCCACTCGGGGATAACTGCTTGCACTTGAATACAATAGGTTGTCCATGGCTCCAACTGAGACAGTATTTCAGAGTTATGTTTAGTATCTACGTGAGCTACCTAATAACAGAGAAGAATACAAAGAATTTGAAAAGCATGAGTGCAGTGAGCGAACTAGCTAAGTAATTGAAGTTACAGGTAGTAGGACAAATCCCAGCAGCTAAAGCTGCAATATGAATAAGGCTTTTAAAGACAGAATGAAATGCCCTGCTTATGTCACAACTGGTAACTCTACATTGATTTCAGCTGTAATCAGAGTGTGAGACCACTCACACCATTGACTTTCTGGCTGCTTCTAACAGCATTAATGAAGTTTTAGGCTACAGAGATGTGATAAATCAGATCTGCCTGCAGAGACAAACAAATGTGTAACCAAATGAGATCAACTGAGAGTGCTGTCGCAGGCAAACATAATTTAATTTGAGATGGAGCAAGTAGGATGGATGATCTAGACAAAAGAAAGAAAAAGGCTTGTGGAAGCTATTAGGTGACTGAGAGCAGATGCAACTTGCTGTTGAGACAATGACTGGTTAAGTCTGTAATTCTATGGTCCCTGCGGAGTACAGGAATCCCTACAACATGCCCCATTGCATAGTAAGAGATTCTTTCTCAGGAGTGAGAAGACTGTAGCTAGGTTTCAACATTTTAAGCAAGCATATACTTCAAGAAACAACCTATGAATTTACACAGTCTATACCTTTTGCTTCTTTGATCTCTATGGAAATTAATAGAATCATAGAATCATTTAGGTTGGAAAACACCTTTAAGATCACCAAGTCCAACCATAAACCAAACACTGCCAACTTCACCACTAAACCATGTCTCTAAGCATCTCATCTACCCATCTTTTAAACACCTCCAGTGATGGTGACTCCACCACTTCCCTGGGCAGCCCATTCCAGTTCTTGATAGCCAGTGAAGAAATATTTCCTAATACCCAATATTTCCTAAACTTTCCCTGGTGCAACTTGAGGCTACTTCCTTCTGTCCTATTACTTGTTATCTAGGAGAAGAGGTTGAGCCTCACCTCACTACAACCTCCTTTCAGGTAGTTGTAAATGGCGATAAGGTCTCCCCTCAGCCTCCTTTTCTCCAGACTAAACAACCCCAGTTCCCTCATTGCTCCTCACATGGCTTGCACTCCAGAGCCCTCACCAGCTTCATTGCCCTTCTCTGGACACGCTCCAGTGCCTCAGTGTCCTTTTCGTAGTGAGGGGCCCAAAACTGAACACAGTATTCAAGGTGCGGCCTCACCAGTGCTGAGTACAGGGAGACAATCACTTCCCTGGTCCTGCTGGCTACACTATTTCTGATACAAATACCTTAATTTCTTGTAGTTTGGGAATTGAAAACCAGTCTGTTTTTTGGGAAATTATGATCTCTCATTTTCTGGAATTGAATGCCAAAGAATTTTGCAGGTTAACAAATACAAACCAGAATTGCATGTAGTGGAGCTGTATTATATGAAGATTGTACTGATGTACAAAGCACTAATTACACTGTGACTGATATCTTCCGGTAAAGGGCTTCTTTTTTTTCCTGTAATAGAGCTCATAACCCTATAATTAATATATTATTTATGACCTTTCTCCATGCATTTTGTATGGAGAAGTCTTTTGAGTTGAGTAACACATCTGTCTGTGGATGAGGCTGTCCACGAGAAGAAGAAAGTAAATTACAACTGGTAGAGATTGAAGAGGTGAAGGTGACTACCTACCACCAGCCACGGTGGTATTCAAAGCCTGGAGTCCCATGAAGAGCACAAATACTTGAACGACATGAGATTTGAATTTAATTCAGCTTATTGCCATGACCACAGATACAGCTGGAGTTACAGCTTCTAAGTGTGTGAAATGCAGAGATCTGGTGGGACAGACTGCATCCCAAATAAATCACCGCTAAACTGAGGGAATAAACTCTCATAACGTAGCAGTTATTTCTAATTATGGAAAGAGCAAATGATACCCAGGATACTCTTTAACTATACAGCTATCTGCCATTTGCTCTGAATAGCAGTAGTGACTAGATTTTATTACACTGTAATTAGTAGAGATACATTTTTACATCCATACAGTTAGCTTTCAGACCTTCGTCAGCACTGTATTTTACCAAGAAAAGCGTGTATCAAAGTCACGGAGTCACAACACGTGGGAAGCAGAAGTTACCTCTGTATCGCTGCCTTTTTTCCAGTACAGTATCCTGTAATTCCATGAGCCATAATAATGCTTTAGAGGCCACTTCTCGTGCTCAGCAACAGGGCCTACGAAATCCACGTGCAGCGACCCGGACTCTGACTTCACTTTTACATCGGGTGGCCCAATGACTGCTATATATTGGAATGGTGGAGAAGAAGAAAAAGTGGAATTCAGTTCCACGTCATTTTCAGTTCAACATTTTTACAGAACCTACGACAATTCACGCTTTAAATAATTTAATCTATTAGAAGACAGTAATTGCCTTTCATGGGTCAGGCATAAACAAATCATTTCCGTATAGAACTGGTCTTGAAAGGGATTTATTTTTGTGGTTAAATAACGGATATTTTTGCAGACTAATTTTCCAATGCACTAAATTGACTCAGTTCTCTTTTGCCAGCTGTGGTGATTCCTGGGAGAGAAAGGACTATTTCTACAGGTTATTACTCGCTTCTCTTTCTGGGCCAAGCTGTTGCAACATCTGTCTTTCCTGAGGAGACCCTCTCTAGTGAAGTGTTTTAACGTTTCTTTCATTGTGATCACTTGGAAAAACTGACACACTTGAATTATTTCTGCATGTCTTAAGGATTGAGCTCCTTAGACTGAATATTAATTATATTCTCAGATTTTGAAAATGGCTTGTCCTTATTATGTTTTGGTGCCACTACCTAAATTAACTCATGAGTAGCTTAGTTATCAACTACATTGTGTCTGCAATGAGCTCTCCATTAGTGTCTCCTGTCATTCCGACAGACAACTCTGCCTTGCTACAGTCAAGCTACCAAGTGTCTAAGAAAGGAAGAGCTCAATATGCAACCAATTTTGCATTCCTCTAGAAATATGTGTTTCTTCAATTAAAAATACAAAAAAAATCGACTTGCTGGACCATGTAATGCTCATGAACATGTTACACTTGTGAAAAAATAACATGAGGAGGGTCTTGGTTACTCTGGTTTTCTTAGGCTATTCCTATGACACAGCGTGGAATTTCTTACAAAAACGCTAGCAGAAATAATAACACAGAAAGGAAAATCAGATATTTTTATCATGATGCCCTGTTCAGATCAGCTAGGATAACATTAAAAATCCTCATGACCTCCTCAGAGATTTGGCCAGTTGGCCAATACTCCCAGGTCTTTCTTTCCAGGTAGTTTTATAACCAGATTTTCTCAGTTCAGGAATAATCTGCCGTTTCAAAGCCAAGCCTGCTCTGAAGGCCCCATGCTCTTTCAGGTATATGTCAAACTACAACTCCGTTCATGATTTACATGTTTGCTCTCTGCTCTGAAAATCCATTCATACTTTCTGCATTACATTTTCTTTTGGCTGTAATTTTTCTTGCAATGGTGTATTTTTTTTTTCTGTGCTGTGTTTCAGTGCTTCTGTTCTAGGCAGATTTAATTACATCAATATTATGCTTTTGGAGAGAGATAACCAATAAAGCATTCTGAAAAACAAGGCTGCAAACTGTAAAATGGCTCTCTGACATCCACGGAACAGAATGATGTAATCAAAGCAAATGAAGGCAGAACAAGAAAGAAAAGGATTTTAAAAAAGTTTTTCTTAAAGATGAAGTGTAACAGAAGTCTCCTGCACGGTTCTGTATTAACAGCTGTGAGGACAAAAAAGCCTTGGGTAACATTAACTACATAAATAATTTCATTTTTGCTTAAGAGTGGCATAAGAATGTACAAAATAAAGGTCGCTCATTGGTAAAAACCACTTCCTCATTCCCCGGTGACAGCAACACGATTAACAGCTCTGCTGCGCACCTTAATGCAGGACAGTGTCCAAATCATCTTGCACAAAAGGCTGTAAAGCTTCACTGAGAGAAGGGCAATACGCTGCAATGAAGACTTCTTGACTAAAAATTAATCTTTCACTGTGATTTTTTTTTAATTAAGGAAAAAAAAGCTTTTTGCCTGACATAGCAATGAAGAAGAAAGTAACTGAACTTATTTAGATATATACAAAGCCTGAATCCTTGAAGAAAAGCTCTCCCTGGCTGAAAAAATATAAACAAAGCCTTACTTTAAGGGAAAAATATACATTATTTCAAACCTTCTCAAAAGAAGTTTCAATTGCTGCCATAAAGCGAACCTACTGTGCAACTCTGAAGTTGAACTTCTGCCTTCAAAAAATGGAAGTGTTATAAGTAAGATTTAATAGTACAATGTAATTAAATTCAAAAATTATCTGCACGCTACAGCTTTTCTTATGGAGCCAAACTGTAAAGGTGCAGACAATAGCAGACAATATCTTTTTTGTGGAAGATTAGAAAAAGGCTTACTGTCATCCATTGGCTTAAATCTGATGGTTGCCCAGTGCGAGTGGTTGTTTCCTGACTCCGCTCTGACCCGTAAAATGTAGTCTCCATATGCAGACAGAGAAGAGACATCACACTCTGTGAGTCTCAAGTTTGTGCTCACATTTTCATACGTCTTTCCAGGGAAATAGATGCTGTACGGAAGAGAAGCAAAACGTATGAGATGGCTAAATTATAACTGACTAAATGTCTTTCCTCTCAATTAACTGGAAAAGTGGTTGATAAAACCAGTTATGACTCATGAACAAGAAAAATTAAATCAAGCATATAATAAACATCATTACTAGTGTGTACACAGACATTAAGCATTTTATATACACCTACAAATCTGCAATAAAGTTAGAGATTAAAATTATCACTCAGCAAATACATGCCCTTTTCTTGACAGTGGCTACAAAACTTGATTCGACAGCAGTTACCAGATAAGTCTGCAAACATCAGGCCAATATCGGTATGCGTGGCTTTGCTGTCTAACTCAGACTTCGTTCAGAACTGTCTTTAAGATATGCATATAAAAAAAAGCCAGAGAAAATAAAGCCAGACTCTTGACTGGAAATAGTATAATAAATGTTATTCTTTCTGTTTCGCATTAAAAGCCCACCTGGGAAAGTAGAGATCAACAGGTAACTGCTACCAGAACTCAGAAAAATCTTCTTTCAACTTAAGATGGCCCGTACCCTCGGTTCGGGGATTTCTCCTCAGCAGGCACTGCCCGTGGGTGCCATCATCTCTCGTGAGACCCGACCTGGAGTACTGCATCCAGTTCTGGTGCCCCCAATATAAGGAGGTCATTGAGCTGCTGGAGCAGGTCCAGAGGAGGCCCACAAAGATGATCAGAGGGCTGGAGCACCTCCCCTACGAGGACAGGCTGAGAGAGTCGGGGCTGTTCAGCCTGGAGAAGAGAAGGCTCCGAGGGGACCTTATTGTGGTCCTCCAGTTCCTGAAGGGGGCCTACAGGAAAGCTGGGGAGGGACTTTTTACAAGGGCAGGTAGTGATAGAATGAGGGGGAATGGCTTTAAACTGGAAGGGGGAAAATTTAGACTAGATATTAGGAAGAAATTCTTCACTGTGAGGGTGGTGAGACACTGGCACAGGTTGCCCAGGGAAGGTGTGGATGCCCCCTCCCTGGAATAGTCCAAGGCCAGGTTGGACAGGGCTTTGAGCAACCTGGTCTGGTGGGAGGTGTCTCTGTCCATGGCAGGGGGGTGGACTGGGTGAATTTTAAGG